TCTGGAATTATTGATTAAGAAACCCTCCACATCAAACAGTACTCTCCAACACTGAACACCATGCAGTCTTCATTTAAATTATACATTTTTAATATGTTCGTATTACTGATTTTACCTTTTTGTTTTTTGTTGTGTTTTCTTGCTGTAGTTTCTCCCCATGATTACTGTTTTGTGTTTTACTTGTTTAATTATCGTTATATTTAGCAATTGTACTTTGATGTAAGAATTGTACTCAATGAACAGTATCACTGTATTTGTCAACAGAAAAAAAAAACACTGATGTAAGAATTATAACCAATGAATAGTATCACTACATTTGTCAACAGAATTAACATTGAAGTAAGTATTTCAATCAATTACTTGATTTATCCATTCAATAGTTTGATAGACATCTTTGAGCCTTCTTTGGAATTGCCGGATTTCCTGTGTGTACTGAGGCATGAGATCCAAATCACCATAGTCCTCAAATTCTTTTACTCGTTGAGTTAGCCGTTTCAAATCTTCTGTGACCTTTTCTGTGACAGATATTAGATGTTCTTCAAAAGACACCTTGGAAGTGTCTAGAACCTAGATAAACCAACAAATGAAACAATTGTCACAGAGAACTCTGTTAACACTTTATCTATTAGATTTTTCTCTCAATTTTAATGATATCTTGATATTCATGTCTAAATAAAAATAACTCTATCTCTAAAAGCATCTCTACCTTACAGCAAATTCCGGAAAGACATTTTCAAAAATAAATTAAAGAAAGTTTGTACAATAACATATGGTGGAAATTATGAAAATAAATTTAGTCTAACCCAACAGAAAATACTACTGTAATGCACTAAAATATTATAAAAAACTAACAATGTAAACACATATTCTATTTGACTGATTATGTTGCAAGTGCAAAATTTGATTCAGCGATGAGATTATATATATATATATCCTTATTAATTTATGTGAAATTAACTTTCTTAAGTGAAATAGCTTCCAAAATTCTTCTTCTATATCTCTGTTATTAATAATTTATTTATTTATTGTCAAACTTGGACTAGAGAAGACTGAACCATGGGGAGAAAGTCACCAAAATTAGCTCTTGCACTGTGAAACATGTTGCACATAGATTCAAAGCAAGTGTTGAATCTCAGTGATCAAGCACTGTGAGCCCATCAATTTTATTATTAAGTGTTATAGAGCCCCCATAAGCACATTTCTACTCTTCTTATGAACTCTGTCTATATTTTATGTACCTCCATATTTTTCTTTGTGTTTAAAGTTAAACTTGAGCCAAAATCCAGATTGTTAAAGATTCAAAATTTAACGTAATAAGCATAACACACTATCAGTACTAACACTGTACCTATAAGTCTATGCTTTTCACTTTGGTAACTTTTAGATTAACAATTTATGTCTGGAACATTTCTTTACTGGAAATAGGTAGTATACCATTCAAGGAGAATGTACGGTTATCTGTGAGAAGATTGGTTAAAATTAAAACCTATCACACAAGACTAATAATTACTAATGGATACAATAGCCACTGTTGCATAATGTTAAGTGTTATCAACTTTAACTTTTTAGAATTTGCCTGTTTGTATATTTTTGTTCAATGTTTATCTTAGCACTTTTTTCATCATTAGTTATTCACTCATATAATTCAATTGTGTGTGTTGATATGTTGTTGAATATATTCTATCTTTGGAATATCACATTACAAATGCATCTTAAAGGCTTATAGTTAAAAATGCATCTCAAGTGATAATCCTATTTTAAAAACAAAATTAAGCCCAAGTTGTCATAGTCACAATAACAGTTATTTTTTTACGCTCGAGGATCTGATAGCTCAGTACAAAAGCATCGATCTCTAAACACTGGTGTGAGGTAGATTCAATTAAAGATTTGTTTTTACTTATTTCAGGTTATTACAACTAGCAAACATGAACCCAATGTATGTCTTTTGCAAGGTTTCAGATAATCTTTGATAGGTTGTTTAGGCAGAGTATTCATAATGAATCT